AGATGTCGACTCACTAGTAATGAAGCAACTGTGCTACGAGCTGTACCTCACAAAAACACCTCAGAAACCACCAAGAATAACGCATAACACACCACTAAGTACACTTACAGATAAAATAGCATATTGAACGAAAAACACGGTGCGGTTTGCACTGAGAAAAACCTATTAGAACCGAAGAATAATACAACACTCCACTACCACCCATCGTCAAATTTATTAAACACCCTTTTTTTTTTTAAACATACATAGCAAAGCAATGAACACTGACGTACACATAAGAACCTAATACACATACACCCCCATTCATACATCGATACGACCACCCGCAAGTACAAACCCCTGATGAAGACAATACCACCGAGTCGAGGGCGCTACATAAGGCAAACATTTCTTTCAAGAAAAACTAAGGGACATGAAGAATAAGAAAAACCCGAACATATGCATAGGCACAAAAATGAAGAAAAGGAAACAGATACGACAACAAAAGAATGAAACAACAAAGCAACACCCCGCAAAGAAAGACACAAAAAAACACAAAAACTCGTGAAGCATCCCCATGAAGACCGGCATCTGAAAACCAGGACAAAAAAACTCGACAAAAGAAATATGCCACTTTCTTTAAAAAGCTARTTAGACTGCAACCCATCCAAAATATTGACCACCGCCGAACTCTGARGKTGATCGACGTGAATGAAGAAGACTATAACATTACGCGGGAACTACAAAGCAAAGCAAATATGCCACTAAAGTTCAAAAAATCACCCCGCCTACGACCAGACCCCGTAAATTGTACTACAACCGATCACACACAAGCATAACCCGTATACCTACACAGACCCCTAAAACCTACCAAATACGCCCTGTTTTACCAAACCAGAACACCTACCAAATACGCCCTGTTTTACCAAACCAGAACGAATATCACATTTCGGTGACCTAATTTTTTAATTAAAATAATAATAACGATAAAGCTATCCTATATACACGAACGCCACCATACCCATTACAAACCTCACATTACAAGATGTAATGAAGCCTGCCTACATTACTATCTACAGCAACTTGCCTATGACTACGCTGGCGCCACAGAGCATTCCAACTCATACTTGCTACGCATGCGAAGAGCTTCCTCATCCCACCATCTTCTCTCACCTGCCTCTCCTCATCCCCTCATACTACGCAACCAGGCGAGCTAACCGTCTGTCTGCGACGGGCAAGGCACCTTCTTGGGCCGGCCAATCTGTGCTTCGACCAATGGAGCTCTTAATCCATCGCTACGCCGAAGCTCGACAGCTATGGCAGCTACTGCAGCGACTGACTATGCCGCTTCTCCAGACATGACACCTCAGGTAAGGATCCTCTGTTCCTTTACCCCTAATCGCCCATGTTGTATATTCCCAGGACCCCATGACTACAACTTTCTACCACCCTTTGTGCTAATTGGAGCCTTGCTAACGACTAATCACTCTGATGAGCTGCTATGGGTGCTAAGTGGCGAAAAGCGCGCTTAAGGGCGTGCACCCCCCCTACGGCTGGGTTGTTGCCCTTTCCTAATCTCTAACCTACTAACGCTAGCAACTAATAAAATACTCCCTACTTAACATAATTTCCTCTTATGGGTAAAAAAAATCAACCGCATTTTTTTTTTTTACCCATTATTTAATTCTGGAAAAATGCGGCAAATTCACGTCCGCTGCGCGGATGAGGTCGACCACGGACGCGACCGTATATACGGCCGCCCTCCGAGGTCGACCCCGCGGACGCGGCCGCGGGTGTTTCGTAGGTGGAATGACAAGTTCTTCATTGGCTACGATATCATAATGAGGCAGTTTCGACCACGACGGTTGACGAGGGAGAAATGGGAAGAAACCAAGTTGAACATTCCAGCAGATAAGACAATCAATGTCCCAAAACGATTGGGCCGCGTGGATGAGGCGAAACTAGGAAAAAGGAATGTCGGGGGGCACAAGCTGACGATTGCAGTATATATGGAGTGTGCGTACTTATCCAAACTTTTTGTACATGAATTTTTTGGCGCAGTTGACCATTGGAGGGATGAGTTGCGGCGGATAAGCTCAAATGCTCAACACATAATATGGGACAAGCGCAAAAATCACACGACGTATCTTTCTTTATGCATCGCACCTATGGACGCACTGCACACGGCGAAAGATTTCACTTGTGTTATGAGGAAGCTGAGTCGTCACCTTGCAGCGTTCGACTTGGATCCGTTGAAGAATCTCGACGCATGGAACGAGCAAAGTTCTCACGAGCTCCGCCACATGATGATGGTGTTGTGCGGGACGCATTGGGCGCTAATCATATTCAGCACATTGAAAGGCGAGGAAATGGTCCTAAAAAACGTATTCAGGTGGGAGGGTGTGAGAGTTCTTCCAAGGCGTTGACGCCTTTATGGCGAAGCGGCATCATCCTACGCCCAAGTTGGAAACCTTCCGTTGAGAGGGCGCGACTCCATAACCATAGTGTTGCACGATACAGACAATGATTTGAAAAAGGTCACGGTCGCAAAGACTCGTGGGAACACTCTCTTCGACACGCATTACGTGGAGGAGTTATTTAGACGATGTACAAAAGAGGCAATCGGCGTGCGAGGCAGTAGCAAACCCATGTACGGGATATGAGAGAGGGAACCGAGAAAGATGAAAGACTTGTGCACCTGGTTTTCGATGGAAGGGGAACATGTCTTGTTATTGGGCAACGTGGAGAAGGGAACAATGTGGGACTTGCTTCGCTCAGGACGCCATGTCATTGCATGCGATGGTTCGTCAAACATGATGGAGTACTCCTCTTTGTTTATCAATCATCACGTCCACAATCCGGATAGTAGGTGTCACTTGGAACGACCGAAACCTCGGCATCGTGTGGACCGAGACATGTCCCTGAAGCTCGGCAAGAAGAGAGACTCTCTGTGGAGGTATCTGTTCTACAATGCACCCGCGACACCAACATATGTGGATTATCTACACCGTAAGGTGACAGCGATCCAGCATCTGCAAGGATATCACAATGCTAAATGTGGTGCAATTGAGGTATTTTTGGGGCGATGTGAACAACTGTGGTTTGAAAAGAAGCGAGGCAAAATTGATGCCAAGGTGTACTGCGAGCTACTGGATGTTAGGGAGCAGCTTCGCATTATGGACAGTGAGGAGGAGACATAGGATGACAAGAGTGACCTCTCATTGTCGGGTGCACATCACAATGCAGTGAGAGAGGAAACGCCTTCGCTGCCCGTTTTGGGTGGTCAATACGCGATGGAGGAAGATGTCAGCGACACTATCGCAAGTACGAGGATCGAGAATGTGATGCGTGAGACAACGCCAAACACAGGTGGTGCAATGGAAGGCAACACATCCAAGTACGACGTGAAGGAAACCACCGTAAGATTCGTTTCGTTGATGAGGAGAGTTCGCAATGACATAGGAGCGGTAGACGACGAGACTAAAAATGTTCCGCATGCAGACAAGGAATCCGTGGACGACCCAAATGGGATGGACATAGAGGATAATCTCCTCTTGGACATCCCGGATAATGCCCCCCAAAAGCTTGCACCGAGTGATAATATATCATATAACATGAAGGAGATGAAAGAAGGACCTCACTTTCTGGACACAAAGTGCAAAGAAGATGACGAGTGGGGGCATCACATCATATGGCATCCAGGTCTCTTCGAGCCATGTGTGATTGATGGCGGATGGCACATGGCTATCCGAATGGGTGGGAAATGGGTGTTCAGGGAAACAGTCCTCGGGAGCAGGTTTTATGAGATTGCGAAGGACAACTTCTTTACCCGTGTGAGGCAGGCGAACAAAGATGCGCCGAACCAGAGAATATCAGACAATTCCTGCATGAACATCACCTTCTCGAGTATTGCGCTGCGTTCTACGACAAAAAATCGAGTCCGTCGTATGGAGGTGTCATATGGTCTGTGGACTATCGTGCAATGGAGTGTATGTACGACAATGACATACTTGTAGGATGCAGTCAAGGCATTGAGGGACACACGGGTAGAAGGAAGAAGATCGATTCAGCAGCAGAAGGAGCTGGTGGCGAGAGTGTGACAGACAAGGAAGGACATCTTAGGATGCATAACACAAACAGTGATGAGTTCACTGAGCGGCCATTAAGCGCATCACAACCAACACTTAAACCATCAGAAGGCATCAGTGCAGTAGGAGGCAGAAGTGCGCCAACACCAACAGCAGGCGGGGAAGTTGTTGCACACGTGGATGAGGACGGCAGGAAGGACGAAAAGATTGAAGGAGAACAACGACAAAATGCATCAGATGGAGAAGGGCCAAAATTCCAGAGACGTGAGGGAGTGAAGGCGGTGACAGGGAATGTCCATTCGCATTCCAAGCAGTCGCATGCAATACAACATACGACTGTCACCACTACACAGGCGTAAGGCAACGACGAAGAACAAGGGAGCAACGTGCACATGAGAAAGAAGAGGGGGAATTGACCCATGCATATGGAATGCACTGGTCCAGGAACACAAATAGTTTTTGAGTCAACAATGGGAGAAAAGAGAGTTGTTGCAGAGGGTGTCAGTGTGGCAGAGCATGAAAAGGCTCCAAGCACGACAAATGTGGAGAGTGGGGAGGAGAATGAGAATGAAGAGGAGGCGGACAAGAGTCACAGTGTGATCAACTTGGTGGACCAGTCAGGTGAGAACGAAGAAACATCCGACAAGGAAGACGTGAAAGAGTCGGGAGAGGAGTCCCAAGAAAGAGAGCGTGATTTGAGCGAAGTGAGTGGGGGAATATGTTGTAAAAAAAGAAAAGCAGGCAAGGAAAAAGAGGAATGCACAATGCAACGTTCAAAAAGAGTTAGGGAGAAGAAAGCACAATTCAACGTGTAGTGTGTGTGTGTACGTGTATGTTTGTCTGCATGCACACTCGACGGTATACATGTGTGTGCGTGTGTGTGTATATGTGTGATTGTGTATGTGTGTGTGTGTGTGTGTGTGTGTGTATGTGTATGTGTGTGTGTGTGTGTGTGTGTTTTTTTTTTTTTTTTTTT